AAGTGGCATCTGAAGGGGGGTCATTTTGGAGCAAGCTTTTTGAAAGAAGATAGGACATTTTAAGCAAAGGATTTAATACTTTAAAGCTTAAAGAATGAACATGGGGTGTCATACAACAGAGAGACCCTTTGAGTGTGTAGTATGTTCATATGGACATAGATTGCAGATGTAAATTGTGGCCAGGGGATGGGAAACATTGTGTTCTATTCTGCCTAAGGTCTTCATTTTGTAGGCAGTTATCTTGGACTTTGAAACAGAGGATAGAATCTACAGTTGATTATTGGAAATTAAACTGAGAACATGGACAGTGTGGAAAACAGAGTTTGAAGGCAAAATAAATCCTTCTTCTTTGGCTTCTCAATACCACTTACCACATCTTTTATTTTGTTCGGAGTATTTCTAATTATCTGACATTTTGTGTATACTTGGATGAGGCATCTTTTTCTTACGGAATGTATTCTTCTTGTGGTCAGGGCCCTTCCATTTATTTTTCAGTCCTTCATTACCTGACACATTGTTGGCACTAAAATATATGTGTGGAGTGAATGAATGTATACCTAATAGAATCTAACAGGTCTGCAGTAGGTTATAACATGATGAGCGAAAAGTTCAAGATTATCCTAGTCATATCATTCCATAAGATATTATACACAAATGTTGAATACTAAAATTTGATCCCTTCCTGTTTTTCAAAATGAAGCATTTTCATTATTAGAGTATCATCACTGTAAGAATGCCAGTTTTTGAAAATTTTCCATTTCCCTGTTCTGTTTGAAAATTTAAAATGTTTTTGTGTAAAATGTTCCTTTGTATAAAAATAACCTGTTTTATTAATTGTGATGCCATCCTTTTAATAATAATAATTTTTTTTTAATGGGAGCACTGTTTTCTTAAGATTTATCAGTCTGCAGAAATGTTCAGGCCCACTTAATCATCAGTGCCAATTCACCATATGATGTTACTGTACATATTTTCTTTGAAAATAACTGGGAATTCGTTGTTGTTTAGTTGCTCTGTCATGTCTGACTCTTTGCAGCCCCATGGACTGCAGCTCACCAGGCTCCTCTGTCCGTGGGATTCTCTAGGCCAGAATACTGGAGTGAATTGCCATTTCCTTCTCCAGGGGATCTTCCCGACTCAGGGATCTAACCCTCATCTTCTGCATTGGTAGGGGGCTTCTTTACTGCTTAGTCTCCAGGGAAGCCCCCGATATTACATCCCATGTGACAAAAATCATATCAGATTGTAGAGCTCATATTGGTCCTGACTGTTTTCATTTAGGATTGGAAGAGGAGCCGTGAGGCAGTGTTTAAACAGAGAGCATGTTCTCATTTATCACAGCTTCAGTTCATCAGCATCTTAAATTCTTTCTTTCTCTAGGCTCTCATGCCTGCTGCTCCTGCTCCCTGAGATGTTCTTTCTTGAGCTCTTTGCAGCGATGGATTTTTCTCTTCCTTGGAATTTGAGCATTAATGTCCCTTCATCTGAGAAGGCTTTTATGACTGTGTCATCTAAGTACATCTTCCATTGTTTTCTGTAATACAATTCTGTGTAATTTTTCTCAGTGTATATTTTAGCTTTGAATGATTTTCTCTCATTTGGTTGATTGTTTATATGTCTCCTCAGTAAAACATCAGCTCCATGAAAGCAGACCTTGGAACCTTGGAACCTTGGAGATGAGCTCACTTTTTGCTGTTAAGTGCTCATGTTAAACGTTATTTAAGCACCAAAGCTTTACAAGCTTCTATTTCATTAAACAGATTCAAAATATATGTAATACAGCTTTCTGCCTACTGAGCATAATGCAGTTTCAGGCTGATGTTTGCAGTGGTAGGTTTTTTGCACTGTTTTACCATAAAACGTGCCCTTCAGGTCTTTATGCTAAATGATCTCAAATGGGTCTTTATGCTGAATGACCGAAGATCAAAGCTTTGTTTGTTTTTAGCTCTCTTAAATAGATATATTTTAATCATAGCAATATTACGTGCTCCTTGTTAATAAAAAAGGACCTAGACTATCTCTTCTAGCCCTTGCATTCACCTGTTTGCAGTTAGCCATAGGCAATCTGTTATTCCTTTGTGTGTTTTTTTTTTTAAATCTCTAAAGGTTACTTTTGTATATTTTATACAGTACACGTAATCTTTACATTTCTGACTGTAACAAGTGAGGATTTAACTCATCTCACCTCTTATCATTTTTATAGCTTTTTTCTTTTATTGTTATTCCCTTTTATTATTTATAACAGTACCTTTCTATTACTTATTCATAACTATAAGTGATATCTCTTGATTCCATAAGTTGAAGGTTAGCAAGTACAACCTCTCCTCCCCTCTTAGCCACCAAATCCTGTTACCTCTATTTCTATATTGTCATCACTGATAGCACTGTCGTTGTTGATAGACCATCGTCATGTCTGTCTGTAGGTTGACTTATTGTTTCCACATAAATAACATCAGTTGCAAAATTGTAGGTTTTTAGTATGGTTCCTTTTCTACAGTGTAGTGCTGTTGCTTACAACTCTACTTCTATGTAAAAGAAAATGTTCAAAATAATTAATTTTTCCCATCACCTATTAATCTAGATAATGATATATTTAAATTTTCTTCTTACTTAAACCTTGCCTTTTATATTCATTTTGTTGTCATCATTCTTACTGTTGTGGGACCAAATATGTCTCCCTACAGTCTTTGATATCTTCCAAGTTTTTCTAATTATAATGGTTGCTTAGAATCTATTCTCCTCTTTATCTTGAGGTCCAGTTAAATTCCCGTTCTGATTTGTATTTCACAGCTTTGTAGTTGAATCACAGCTTTCTTACACACCTTCTGCTTTTCCTCTTGCACCATATCCTGCCTATTCATCCCTTTTTTTTTCTTACAGTTCCTCTGTTATATTCTCAGGTTTTCTCATTTTTTTTTTCCATTCCTAGTACCTTTCTACTAATTATATCTTAAGGTAATTTCACATTATTTACATTTCTTCAAACATGTTTATTTCAAAGTTCATTAGTTGTTTGGCTTGATGTACAATTTTAGATGGAAAATAACACACCCTCAAAACTCTGAAGGCATGTTCTGAAGGCACCGAGTGCTGCCAATAACCAGTCCAGTCCGCATCTCACTGTTGGCCCTTGTTAAATACTTTTTTCCTCTGAAAGTTTTTAGGACCTTCGTTTTATCCATAGCATTGTAAAGTATCACAACATGTTGGTCTTTTCTTATTCTGCTTATTCAGAACCTGGGAAGTAATTTAATTTGAATACTTAGTCCATTTAATTGTATTATGTTTCCAGAAATACTTCCTTTGTCTCTTCTCTTTCTGGAGCTCTTTCTGTTTGAAAGTTGGATTTATTGGATTAAATATCTAGGCCCCTTTCTCCTTCCTCCCCCCAATATAGTCTACCTTGTCCTTTTTGTTCTGTGAATTTTATTTAACTCTGTCCGTATTTAATTTGAGAAATCATATTTCCTCTTTAGAGTGCTCTCACTTTATCTGCTCCTTTTTATATGGCATTGTTATTTTTTTATGACTACTGTTGGGAAAAGCAGTCAACCATGGCCTCTGATCATCCTGCCTGTTCTTGTGGGGCATGCCAAGAAGGCAAAGGATTGTGTGTGCAGTGACAAGCCTTAAGGAGTGGCGTTATGTTTCCCCAAAGCACAGAGTTCGTCATCATGTACTAGAAAAATAGAAAGTCCCCCAACTTGGTAGTGCAGTCCTGTAACCCAGTCAGCTGCGTGTATGGGCATCCAGGAAGGGCCTTTTGTGTCATCCCGTGAACTTGGGGGCACAGGGAACTGGTGCATACAAACATGAAGAATAAAGTCCTTTAGGTCTCTGACCCCAAGTCTTGTGGCTTCTGCCAGCACCCCCGAGACAGTAACAGGCTGGCTTGTTAGCAAGATGAAACCTCCAACCTAGCAGCTTTGCACTTCTCATCCAGTATTTTCCTAGGTTCTTCTGCACTGCCGTCTTCTTGGAGATTGTAATTTTGTCCATCAAAACTTTTCCACTAGCCTTCCATTTTACAGATATTCCTTGAAATCTCTTATCTGCTGCTGACTCCTCTCCAAGTTTTTTTGTGATTGTAGGATTAGACCTTTTTCTGTCTATACTTCTTTGGGAGAGGGACTCACCATATCGCCTGTGAAGAGTCAACTACATGGAAGAAGTTCCCTCTCCTTTTTTTAAGTTTTAGTAATCACTGTTGCTTCATTTTCCATGACTATGCCTACATCCTTTTGCAACCAGCCTTTCCTTATTTATCTTCCATGCCTACATCAAAAAAACAGAGCTTCCGTATCTGTTGTATCAACAAAATGTCCAATAGAAATGAATTCAAAATAAGAGTAAATATGCTCTTAGAGGAGGGCTTGTTTGTGGCATTTGGTTGCTACTCAAATCTTTGCTTACTTTTAGGTGCAAGTGTAAATGCATTTTTAGATAGATGGAATACATTAAAGGTGGAGTATAACTGATATTTACAGTTTTAAAACATATCCATGATTTTTATTTCTCTGTTAAAGTGAATTGCAATATTCTTAAAAATTGCTCTGTGCTTTTTACTAAAAATCATCAGAAGATTTAAGTTATATATATAGGAAGTGACACAAAATGATTTTATCCCCTAGAATAAGAGTTGCCGTGCTTCTTATACAAAGGGCCAGGATGAGCTTTTTGCCCTCACACGTTCTACTCTAACTCCTCAACTCTGCCCTTATGTAGCTTAATAGCAGCTGCCGCAATAAGTAAATGAATCAGTGTGACTGTGTTGCAGGAAACCTTTATTCATGAATGATAAAAATGTGAATTTTAGATAATTTTTATGTGTCATGGAATATTCTTTTTTTTTTCACATCCATTTAGAATATAAAATCTACTCTTAGCTTGCATTCCTTACTAAAGCCAGGGTAACTTGCCCCAGAATTCCTGTTTTATTAATAGCTTTGTTAATCTTTGAGTACTGATACGTTTCCACTCTGTCACATTATCCTTATCAGACTAGCTAATGAAGAATATCAAATACTGGCTAACTCCTGGCGCTATTCATCTGCCTTTTGTAACAAACTCTTCTTCAGTAAAGTGGACTATGATGAGGGAACAGACATTTTTCAACAGGTAAGAGAAATATATTTTGTTTTAATAGCATATTTATTGGAGTTGGTTATGGTTGCTACATCTTTGTGTGCCAGATAAAAACACAGTTCATTGACTCCAATGAGTAGTTACTAAATTCTGTGATATGATTAAAATAATTACAGTTATTATCTCTATCAGTATAGTTTTTTCCATTAGTGAATAAACACATTTTAGCTTTTCCATCATAGAGGAAATATGTTTTTTCTTTTTCCATCATACAGGGGCAGTTTACATACATTAACTTTATTTTAATATTTAATTGTATGTGCTTTGGGTGGTATTTTGCATAAATTTGTGAAATTTTATAAAAGATTCAAGGTAAGTTTTACGTGGGGCTCCCCTGGTAGCTCGATGGTAAAGAATCTGCCAGCATTGCAGGAGACAAAGGTTCAGTCCCTAGGTCAGGAAGATCCACTGGAGGATGAATGGCAGCTCACTCCACCATTTTTGCCTGGAGAATCCCATGGACAGAGGGGCCTGGTGGGCTATAATCCGCAGGGTTGCAAAAGAGTTGGGTACGGCTTAGCAACTAAATACCAACAACAAAGTTTTACTTAACCTTCAAGCTGTTTTAGGGGGATAAAAGGCCTTTAAGGGGGATGAGTGTGAGTGAAAGTCACTGTCTGCGACCCAATGGACCATACAGTCCAGGGAATTCTCCAGGCCAGAATACTGGCGTGGGTAGCCATTCCCTCCTCCAGGGAATCTTCCCAACCCAGGGATCAAACCCAGGTTTCCTGCATTGAAGGCGGATTCTTTACTAGCTGAACCACAAGGGAACCCCTTTAAGGGGGGTAGTTAAGGTTAAATGATGTCATAAGGATGAAGCTAGAAATCAGCAAAGAATGAATTATCAGTCTGAAAGCAAGCAAAGCAAGCAAAAATATTCACTAATGGTCCACTTAAAATTAGCTTGAGTCTAAATGCTTTTCCATGACCTGGTAAAGAACTGGGTCAGACAGTATGAGAAAAATAAGAGACAAAGATACCCAAACTAATCCATGCTGGGTACTGCTAGGAGTTGTGCATTTGAAAGGCATGATCAGGTACTGATAAACACAAAAAATTAATCACTGCAGGTTAACAGCAGGGATCAGGGAGCCAGACAGTTGAGCTCAAATTATCATCTCCATATACTAACTTTGTATTCTTGGACAAGGGACGTAACCTCTCTATACCTTAATGTCTTCATGTATGAAACAGATAAAAATGATATATTTCTCTTTGGATTGTTGTGAAGCTAAATGAAAGAAAACGCATGAACTGCTTAGAAGTGTCCCTGGAATATAAGGACTCAATGTCAGCAGTGATGATGATATAATCTTGACAAATTTCAATGGGACTGGTATCTTTATAAGAAGTTGGACATGAGTCCTTTGGATTAGCGTCTCATCCTTGTGACATCATTTAAGGGAGGCATATAAGGTTAAATGATTTCATGTAGAAATTTGACAGCCCTGGGCTTGTTAGGGACTTGTTCAGAAAGTAAATTGTATGTGACTCCTGTGTAATGACTGAGGCTAAGTGTCTGACAACAGACCAGCAAGTCAGTGATGTGTTAGAGGGAGATCTGCACTAGAAGTCATGTTGGCTGTAATTGTCTCGTGTGCATCTATCAGAAAAACACACACGAACAAAGTGTGGAGTGGGAGAAAGGAATTGGTGACTGTGTTTTGTTCAGTTTAGTAAAAATTGTAAATGTCCATAACATGTACTCCCCAGCTGGTACTGCTGTATCTTTACCTTGAACCTTGATCTAATGTTTGTTGTTACTTGAACTTACTTCTTTATTCTCATTGTTGGGGAATGTTGAACTATGTATTAGAAGCCAGGGCCAAAAAGCTCCTTGCCTTTCAATTCAAGCATTTTTCATAATTCTTGGGCAGCAAGAATTTAATGTCTATCCATGCTTTGCAGTTTATTCCCCAATTCAAATTAACCTCATGTTTGTTTTTAGATTATTGTTAATAAACACCATTTGTACTAGGTATACTAAGGTAGTGTGCATTCAGTATACTTTTCAGATGAAGCTTGCCTTTAGAAAATAATTAATGAGATGTAACCATTTTGAGACAGTTGAAATAACAGAGGAGTTGAACAGAAAACATTTTAAAAATTGATAGAGAAGTCAATATACTTGAAGTTAATTACATAATATATTTACATCTTTCATCAAATGCCAGCCTTTTTCTTTAACAACTGCTTAAGGGAAAATCATCCATATACCCCCAAATTACAGTATTTCTGTTTTGCACTTTGAATCATTTCATTCTTTAGTTGTAGAATTCTAGAAAATAAAGAAGGAAATGACCAATGAAATAGATGATGCAGCTGAGAGTATGAATGATGTATGTGAAGGTTCAGCAAACTTGACCTAATTCATAAGTTCTCTTATATTCAGCAGTATATCAAGATGAATAAAAACAGTAGTTAAGCTCTGGAAAGCCACTTGGATTTTTCATAATAATGCTGTCTTTCCAAAATTCATGCAGGAAAAAAAGCCGGGATATTAGATTTAGTCTTTTTATCTCATGTTTTACAGCTCAACATTAACTCCGCTCCTACGTTCATGCATTTTCCTCCAAAAGGCAGACCCAAGAGAGCTGATACTTTTGACCTTCAAAGAATTGGATTTGCAGCTGAACAACTAGCAAAGTGGATTGCTGACAGAACGGATGTTCATGTACGTTTTTATTCCCCATAGTTTTAATAATAGGCTAATTAGCTTGGTTTGGTATAACATTATAATAAGGCCACAGGATTTTTTTCATTTCTTCTGCTTTAGGAAAACTGCATCTGATAGCTGTAAGCTGAACTTTGAGTTAGGTGAATTTAAATGGCTTTTGGAATAATGGTTCTTAAAATATCAATGAACCATTAAAGAATACATATTAGGCACAAAGTAATTTCAGAGGCTAAAAAATGTACTGAATATTGCTCAGTGGTCTTAGTAATCAAAGACACTCTAATTAAAAATCCAGGTGTATAATTTTTATCTATCTTTTGGGCAAATAACAGTGGGATAAGACTCACTTTTCATGAGCCATATGAGAAAATGACATATGCTGTTCTCAGGACTATAAATTCTAACAGTATAATTCTTTCCTTCCTTCTCCCCCAACCATTAACTATGGGAAAAAAATTACACATTTTAATAGAAGAAAATCACTCAGAAATCAGATATCTAAAAATAAGAAATGAATTAAATGTGCACCGTGTGGACAAATAGTGGTTTGCAATAATACTTGACATAGAAAGAAGCTCAAAGGATAACAAGTGAAAAAGTAGGATAGAAAAACAGAATTTATAGTAGATTTAGAAAAGCAAAATATTACTGAGATATGTAAAATGTTGATGGTAGTTAATGTCTGTGTGGAGGGCTATGGCTATTTTGTCCCTTAATGTCACTAGAATTTTCTACAGTGAGCAATTATAACCAGCTATTTTAAAATTACATTTCCCTTAGATATAGTAAAGAGATATTAATTTGGTGTAAGCGTATTTCTCATTTGAGACAGATGTCTTTCATACTACTGTCATTGTACATAAAACAATATAGGTGTTAATGATATTTTAGTGACTACTTCTTATATTTTTTGGTGAAAATATTTAGGCAGATATTCAGCTCTACAATGTATCATTTATTTGGTACAAAATATTAAATGTAACATTGGAAAGTACTATTAGTTCTTCATAAGAAATACTCAGTTTTAATCAGAAATGATTCTAACCTGTTTATCACACTTACATGTTGTTGACAGATCCACATTTGTTAAAAAAAAAAAAAAATACATATTTTGAAATAATTTCAACCTTTTAAGTAGTTCCACAAATGAAAATAGTCCAGTCTCAATGTATACCATATATCAGGATTCAACTTTTTATGGCTTTTGCTTTGGCATTCTTACTCTCTTACCCATCCCTCACCCTGTCTTTACACACATACTTACATACCCACACACATATTTTTCTGAATCATTTTAAGGTGAATTGTCTTTCCTAAGAAATATAGGACCATACAGTTACTCACATTAATACACTACTTCTGTTTGAGCTTCTGTACATATTTTAGTTTTGTCAGTTGGCCTACCTTCTCCTTCCTAAATAGTAAGCTCCCTAGGTGGAGACATTTAGGATCACACAGGTATCCTACTCCTCATCAAAATTTTGTCAGTATTTAGCATCCATTGATGACTCTTACCTGATCCAGATTTCATCATGATGGTTGCAAAGATGATGTTCCAGTTCTAGCACTTTGTCCATATTTCAGATTGATCCTTGGCATTTTACTGTAAGCAGGAGTCCTCCCTTCTTTGTATTTCATTCATCCATTGATACACAATCTTATATTGTTTTTTCCCTCCAGAGATTGTTAGTACTATGCTTAAGTATTTTGGTACCAAAATTGTTCTCGGTATGACTAGTGGGAGCCACTTCATGCTGGTTTCTCTGTCCCTGTAAAGTATCTCACCTTGTAAAGTAAGTTGGGGAAATAGGAATCCTCATACACCATTTATGGGAGTAGAACATAGTACAGCCACTTTAGTAAACAGTTTGACAGTTCTTCAAGCCATTAAGCATAGAGTTTCTGTGTGACCCAGCAATTCTACTCCTTGGTATACATATCTAAGAGAAAAGAAAACATACACTCCACAAGAACTTGTGCAAAATGTTTACAGCAGCATTATTCATAAGAGCCATAAGGTGCAAACAACCCAAATATCCAGCTGACTAACTGGCTAATGGATAAGCAAAGTGTGATATCTACACAAGGAAATACTCAGCCATGAAAAGGAATGAAGCAGCGGCACATTTTACAACAAGGATGAGCCTTGAGAAGGTCATACTGAGTGAAAGAAGCCAGTTACAAAAGACTACATGTTACATGAAATTGCAGAATAAATGTGTGGAGACAGAAAGTAGATTGATTATTAGTGGTTGCTTAAGACTGGAGGGTGAGAGGAATAGGGAGTGGACGCCAGAAGAGAATGGGATTTCCTTTTGAAATGATTCAAATGTTCTAATACTGACTGTGGTGATGGCTGCACCTATCTGAATATGCTTAAAAAAAAATCACTGGAATGTACACTTTCAATGGGTGGATTGTATGGTATATGGATTAAAGCTCAATAAAGTTTAAAACAAAATGTTTTAAAAAATTCCAAATAATACAAGTAGTAGTCACCCCATCTTACCTCTCCTTTTTACCAGATGATCCCATGTTCAGGATCATCATGATCATCTGGTTCATCATCACGAACCAGAACAGCTCTGGGTTGAATGGAAGTAGGTTTTGCATATATTTAACTGTATTCACCTAAACGCACCAGAAGAGCACGTTTTATTACACAGCCATGATGTTTTAAGGCATATGTTTTTGACTCATAAAGAACACACAAGGAATGTTAGTGCCTGGGATGAAAAGTAAGGTGGTACCTTTCTGAATTACATGTATTAAAGATCAGAAGGACGAGAATATCAGAGGAAAAAAATTAATATTTTTAACTTTAAAACATTTTTATTGTTGCAGATTCGTGTCTTCAGGCCACCCAACTACTCTGGCACCATTGCTTTGGCCTTGTTGGTGTCACTTGTGGGCGGTTTGCTCTATTTAAGAAGGAACAACTTGGAGTTCATCTATAACAAGACTGGTTGGGCCATGGTGTCTCTGGTATGTTAATACATTTACCCTATTTCTTTGGGTAATGGTCCAAGATGTATAATATTAACAAAGTGATCCAGATTATAACTGTAATGAAAATCAAGTCTGGATGAGAAGAATTAACTTTTAGGACTTAGGTGATATAACTTAAGTTCACCGTTAATGTAGATTGTGCTATCTTCCTTCTGTTTTCACAACTAAAATGTAATGTCTTTCCATGTGTACTTGGCATGTTATGAGTGCTAGATAAATGTATGGTGAATACATTTAGAAATACACTAGGGATTAGTGTATTCTTACTAATTACACTAAAAATACTTACAGACTCTTAGAGTCTGAATCACTTGGAAATGTACTCATTCAGCTATTTTTTTTCCAGTAACTCTTTTCTTTTGTCTCTACTATGTGCCTGATATTTATTAGGTACCGGAGATATAAAGGTAAGACATAGACCCCACCTGATCGTAATTCATCACAGGGATACTAATCAAGAGATAAATTGTGTAATATTTTGCATGCTGTGATGGAAGTAAGCACACAGGATTAGAGGATTACATACTATGTAAAGGACACCTAATCTTGAGTAACGAAAAGTCATGACAGGCTTCCTAGAGGGTGTGACATCATTTATGTTTTTTAGGTTAACAGTATCTTAAAATCTCTAGCAAGTATCTTAGTAATGATGCCTATAGTCACCTGCTCTTCATCATTTTACTTGTGGTCTTGGTCAAAGCATAAGAATTGAGAAGGGAATAAAAAAGTGTAAAGAAAGAGATGTTACTATTTACTTAATTTATGATTTGCCTATATGACTGTCTACATGAAAATTTTATCACAATTTACAAAGAAAAAATAATACTAGAGTTGAACAGTGTTCTGAATTCAAGGTCAGTCTCCAATAATCATTAGGATTTTTACACAGTAAACAATTTAGATGATTAAAAATAAAATCTCTTTCCCAAAAGGAAGAAGAAAACTAATGGTACTTAAATGATACTTAAAAGTAACAAAAGATGTATAAAACATTTATAAACAATATAAAAAATGAAGCTATTTAATATATATGTATACATATATATATATATTTACAACTAAGTGTCAGTTTGTTGGTTTTACCTTTGTGTAGTAGCCCTTCCTCCTCCCATTTTTCAGCAAACAGTGGTGTTTATGACTGCTGCTGCTGAGTCGCTTCAGTCGTGTCTGACTCTTTGCAGCCCCATAGACGGCAGCCCACCAGGCTCCCCTGTCCCTGGGATTCTCAAGGCAAGAACACTGGAGTGGGTTGTCATCTTCTTCTCCAGTGCATGAAAGTGAAGTCGCTCAGTTGTGTCCAACTCTTAGCGACCCCATGGACTGCAGCCTACCAGGCTCCTCCGTCCATGGGATTTTTCAGGCAAGAGTACTGGAGTGGGATGCCATTGCCTTCTCCGGTTTATTACTGAGTTAGATACAATAGGACAGACTGATAAGTGAGCATCCCAGGCAACTAACCTTAAAGCACCTATCATGTGCAATAATAGCTGGTGTCTTGAAATTCAAGCAGATCCTCTATGGCTTTGTGTGTTAGAGAAATAAGATTTTGAAGTTTGGATTTTTTTAGCATAAGGAAGATTTTTCAAGGAAAGTTTCTTAATATTTTCTTGCTTTTTGATAACTGAGTTAGAGAGATTTATTAGTTATACTCCAGTTACTGTAATTGGATCCAGTGGGTGACCTCAGTCACCACAGTCATTAAGTTTGAAAGTGTTTTAGACATTGCTCTGTCTGATTTTCAGGTTGTTTCGTTCAGTTAGGCCACCCACTGTCTTGGTGAAAAAAAAATACCACTTCTTTCAAAGTGTTGGAAAGTTAAAATTCCTTTAGTGTTTCAGCATTATTATACCAAATTTGTCACTGTTTCAGTCTACTGAAAAACTAAGTCTACATAGGATGTAACCATGTGTCTGAAGTAGACCCAGGTGGTAAGCCTGCCTACACTCACTCCCTCCTCCTGAAGGGGTGGCTTCTCTGCTGGCTCAGTCAGTAGAGTCTGCCCACAGTGTGCGAGACCCAGGTTTGATCTCTGGGTTGGGAAGATCCCCTGGAGAAGGAAATGGCAACCCACTCCAGTGTTCTTGCCTGGAGAATTCCATGGAGTCGCAAACGACTGACTTTCACTCCTCGAGAAGAGATGTAGTTATCACTGTATGTAATAATGGACATTACGACATCTCTTCCTTCTTTGGGGGTTATGTTTCTTATGCTTATTCTTTATAACAACTATGAAAAGGAATTTCTATTATCCTCATTTTACAGACAAGGAAACAGATTCAGTAAACTCACTTTGCAGACCCTCACGCCTGGGATGGGATAGGATTCTGTGTACATCTAACTTCAGACTTTGTGCTGTGCTTAGTTGCTAAGTCACATCTGACTCTTTGTGACCCCACGGACTGTACCCTGCCAGGCTTGTCTGTCCATGAGCCTGGACATGGACTTTCTTGCGTCATTCTCCAGTCAAGAATACTGAAGTAGGTTGCCATGCCCTCCCCCAGGGGATCTTCCTGACCCAGGAATCTAACCAGGGTCTCCTGCATTGCAGGTGGATTCTTTATCAGCTGAGCTGCCAAGGAAGCCCTCTCACAGTGTTGGGTTCTCTAAATCTGGCACGTGCGTCATATGCTGGATGTTTAATCCACTGGATGCAGGGAGCCATTACAACTCTAAATAAATGTCTAAGAACATTTATATGGCAAATAAATGTTAGTGCTTAAATGATCAATTCTCTCACACCCTCTGCTACATCATAAAGATTTTTTTTTTTTCTTTGAATCCTTGAGAGCTAATGAGCTTGGCATAACAGAAGATGTTCTAACATTCATAGACACATTCTTGAGAAGGAAATCTTGGCAGGTATGTCTACTCCCCAGTGGCAGCCTTTCAGAAGCCATACAGGCTGCAGAAAACAGACATGTTTTCAAATAATATGCTTGAAAACTCTGAATATAAAATGTTGAATTAAACAGATTTGTGTTTTTTTTTTTTCTCATCTGCTGATGGCTTATGAAGCTTAAACAGTGAGGTCAGAAATAATTTAAATCTCCTTTACCATTTCCTGTCACCATTACCACCACCAAACTTGATTCTTTGTTTATAAAGAAAAACTATTTTACATGAAAAAACTAGATTTGCCCAATTCGAGTCCTTTTTAATCCAGTTTTTGGGATATCCTCACAAAGTTAAGAGACCATCCAAAATGCTGAACCATTTACTCAGATTGCTAGACATTTGTTTATTTAAAACAACCAATATCTTGTTCTTCTTTGGAAATGATATATTTTGAAATAATTTTTGGCAAAATACTGTTATCTGATTTGCAGAAATGCTGAAATCCTTGGCTTGCACAGTAAAATGAAGCTCTTAAAATAAAAATAGTAATTAACTGTACAACAACAAAGCATTTTTGTAATGTAAAAACTGTGTGCACAAAGAAAATAATGAGAAAAACAGTTTGGTAGAGAATTTCTATGCACATGCTCACGTTTTAGTAAAGAACTAGTATGCATACAAGTAGCAGTTGTGTCTTACCTTTGCACATGTGCCAGAATACCTCTGAGTCCTTAGTTCTGAGCAGACTGTATTCTAGGGCTGGTAGTTTTTTTTTTTTTTTTTCTTTTTCATTATTATTTCATGTTATTGTATATGACTCATGGGATTAAGAATCAAGTGTATGCTGGGGAGATAAATTCTATTCATAGTGCTTTAAGGTGTAGGATAAAGACAAAGCTTGCAATTTCCTGGCTTAGAGGAAGTAATATATGCAAATGTTGAAACATACATAGATATTATAGCTTCCTGGTTTTGTGCTTAAAAAAAAAAATAGGTGAAGAAATAGTCATAAGTTGTTCTTGGTCTCATGCTTCCTGGGGGGAAAATGGTAGTTAAAGAACCAACAGTACCTATTACATACATTATGTAGCTAAAGCAAGCATTGGTTCTGGGTTGGTTTCACTCTGCTTTCCAGACTTCCTCCACCCTCTTAAGATGGAGGATGATGAAAAAGCCTACAGAGTACCTGTTTCATGATGAGTTTAAAGTGGAATGGTTGTGTAAAATGTTACATTTTGTAGCCCTTAGTGCTGAGCTTTGTGGCAGGCTGCTGCTGCTAAGGCGCTTCAATCGTGTCCGACTCTGTGCGACCCCACAGACAGCAGCCCACCAGGCTCCCCCGTTCCTGGGATTCTCCAAGCAAGAACACTGGAGTGGGTTGCCATTGCATTTTCCTATGGCAGGCTAATGCTCCTCATAGATGACTGTCATGTCAAACCAGGAATATGAATGTGATGAATAGTTGCATCCATTTCAAACACAAAAGAAAAACCTCCTAAAAATCCACAATTAAAATCATGAAAGATAAAACATCATTTAAAAAGATCTAATAACCCAAGCCTTATTATCACAGTAAATCTCACTAGGATAGAAGCTGTTCTCTGCCTTTTAACACCAGTGCTCTACATTGTAGGATGATTCATATACCATAATATTTCTTCTGTCTCAAACACATTATATCAGTTTAATTATGTTCTATGAAAAATGTCAGCTCAATATTAATATATTTATTATTACACAGTTCACGGCATCTACACATTATGGTATATCAGTAGAAATGTGTTTTTTGTGACCATTCTGCACTACAGGGCAGCTCTGACTTCAGAGTGGAATAAGCGCCTTTTTCTTTCAGATTTTTCTTGAATAAAATTATACATTAATACTTTGTAATATCATACAGATATTATCTTTGTGGCATATTTACAAGTGAGAAGCAAATAATTGCTGTTAATATTTGTTTCCAGTGAAGTAACTTCTAACAAACAGCTTTTCCCGTCAGGTGGTTGAATCATTTGGCCATTTGAAGATAGATATGTCTGTTTATGGACTTCCCTGGGGGCTCAGATGGTAAAGCGTCTGCCTACAATGCAGGAGACCCGGGTTCAATCCCTAGGTCGGGAAGATCTCCTGGAGAAGGAAAT